AAAAAAAAAAAATTAGCCAGGTGTGGTGGCAGGTTCCTGTAATCCCAGCTACTTGGGAGGCTGAGGGAAGAGAATTGCTTAAACCCAGGAGGCAGAGGTTGTAGTGAGCTGAGATTGTACCACTGCACTCCAATCTGAGTGACAGAGGGAGACTTCATCTCAAAAAAATAAAAAATGAAGTAAATAAAGTAAGTGTATGTACAGATTAAAAGGCACCTCTAATGAATTAAAGGACACCCATAATTATAAAATATAAGGGAAAATATTAATATTTAAGATGGACATACCAATGGAAAATGGAAATAAGAACTTGATTTTAAAAGGTAGCAGCATCTGAATCAAAATAACTAATTTAACTCTATGATGTACAATAGATTCTCTACCTGGAAGATAACTAACCAGGAACTGACCAAAATCACTTACGAAACTTTCCAGACACTTTTAAGTTCATTCAGAAAACTAGAGACCCTTTAAAATAATGTAAGTCATAATTATAGTTCACAAACCAAGAATAACATACAATTTAAGAACAGAAAAGAAGGAGATGACATCTCTTTTAGAGATCTTGAGTAATATGTGGCAAATGGGGAAAACACTAGAAACAAACAGTTCCGTTCCCTGGTATCCCCCTCACCCTTTTTTACTAAGGTGTAGAAATTTTTAACACAAGACAAAAAGACAAAATATCACCTGGTGACAGGACAATTACACAAGTGAGAATAATTCTGAAGTTTATCCATTAGCTTCATAATAGTGTGAATTATTAATTATCAGTTAGGATAATAGCTGAAGTTTTCTAAATTCCCATTCCTTGAAAGCATAGCTCACCCATCATTATTTCTATTTGACCTTTCATGTCTCTGTGGAAAGATTCATTTGAAGGCTAGTATTTTCCACTTATCTACTATTTTTTTCCGGTTCAGGCAATTAATATTTGTCATACACAAAAGTATTCTTTATTTCATAAATATAAACGTTAATCTGCTTTATAATCTAAGCATCACATCCTACATAGAGAAGATATAAAAGACAATTGAAACATTCTACCACACACAGTAGTGGGGGCATAAAGCACAATAAAGATACTCAAGTAGGTGTTTTAGAAAGTAGGTAATTTTCTGTGTTCTTCATGCTATCAGAAGCTGACCAATGAGTCCAGAATTTCTTTCCTTGACTAATGAAGCAATAATGATAGCACCTTGCCTTAAACTCTCCTGTAGCTTCTGTTCATCCTGAAAAGAAAGGATAAAACAATAATATTTTAGAAAAAAAATATGCCATGTGTTAAATTTGAAAAAAAGTCACTTTTCAAAATCTGCTGCTGTCCGGATTTGGCATTGTAGAAACTCAGACTCTAGCCACTGTCATGGACACAGTTCCCAAATAAAGAGGAAATACTTTCACAAACACTTTTCATTAGAGACCAAAAAATATTTGCTTAAGATACAAGGAAAAACACGACACAATTTCAAATGCTAACAGAAAGAAAAGATTATTTTCCCTTAATCCAATTTCTGACAACCTTTGGCTCTTCACTGAAGTGTGAATATTTCATCAATGATGCAATCCTTTTCTTCATCTTGTTTCTGAGTGTTCTCCAACTTTGTAAGGAACTGTTTGTGAGTACTGGTATGGGGGGAAAAACCCTGCTTGCTGTTTGTAAAGTAAGAATAGAGAAAATTCAAGAAATGAGTTATTTGACAAGTTGCTAAAAAGTGGTTTTGCCTTTGAAATCATATTGCCTGTAAGAATCCATTTATTCTAATTATTTATAATGAGGAGATTATAATGTGAAGGGAAAATAGAAACAGAGCTAATATCTTTCAGGTCTCTGTGTTGTGAACTGTGCTATCTGTTAAAACAGGATGTGGTAACCAGTCTCTGAACTCCAGAATCATCCTTAATGCCTTAACCCAATATCCAGTATATCACTAGGATCTACTGTAGCTCCTTCCTCTTGTTTCTTGCATCCATATACATTGGGATAAGGCATTAAGGATAAGGCTGCTCAAACTGCCACTGCCAGCATAGCATCTTCTGTCCTCAATAACTGGAATATTTACACAGATAGTCCCTCTAAAGTCTTGCCCTCTTATACTCCATTTCCCACAGGGACGTCAAAATACTTACTTTAAAATATAGATCTGATCACATCAGTATCCTGACTAAAATCCTTTGAAGATCACTTTTAAACCTCAGGATAAAGTCTGATCTCTTTACCTGATAATAAAATGTCTCTTATCCTCTTGGCCTCTTCTTGATATTCCCCTAAAATTGCTCAATTCTCCAAGCCACATAGAACTGCTTAAGATTGTGCAAACAAGCTATTTTTCTGAGCTTGAATCTTTTTGGGCCAGCTAATTCCTTTGCCAGAAAAGTTTTCCCACACCCTTTCTAACTTATCTGATCCTAATTACTCTTCACGGTTCAACCTAGGTATCAGAGATTCTTGAAATCTACCCTGACTCCTATCCTCCAGTCCAATTTGGGTGAAGTGACTATATGTTTTCACAGCTGTGAATTCCTCTAGCACACTAAATTTTAATAGTCTTTTTTAGTTGACCATCTACTTTACCAGATGATGCGTTTTTTGATGTAAAGAATTTTTCATTTTATCTTTGAATATGGAACACTTTTCTCAATGCCTAACACATGGTAGCACTCCATAAATTATAACAAATTCAAAGCAAAAGAGGTTCTGACTATGATAGACATATCACCCTTTTAGTTGAGCTCAGTTGTTAACACTAACTACAATTGCTTACTTTGTTTTCTCCTATTTGCATATTTAGCCTAAAGCCTGGCAATAGTACAAAATAAATATGTTACTGAAGCCTCACCACAACTACTACATGCTCCCACCACCCTGTGTCTGGGTTCCTCAGCTATGAGGATGATGGTGAGAGGCCATCTCTGCTTAAAGTGCTCTTTTCTATCAATTTCTCCGATTGTGTTCTAAGGGATAGAGCTGGAAAAGATCTGCAAGATGCTGAATGTCAGCTGCTTTGCTTCTTGAAAGCGAGTTTTATATGACATTTTAAAATTGGATTCAAATGCCATTTTGGTTTCCAGAATATCACAATACCTAAACCACATCTAAACAAATCATAAAACTATGTATGTTTGGGCTTAAAATACGATTGATTTATATAAGAGTAGATTTCATCTGTGTCACATCATTCATAAACATATAAATATTCTAAAATGAGCAAATACAAACCAACTATTGATATGTATTTGTCATTCTTAATGATCAATTAATTACAGTGCTGCAGGGTCTATAATACACATCTATTCCTAAGTCTCATTTATTAAATTGAGACATAACACAGATGATAATTAAGGTTCCTCTTTCAAAAATAAACAGAACAAGTCTGTCTCTATCGCCCTGTTGAAACCAGTTTATACTTGTTATAATGAAGGCAGCACAGTAACAAATGAAGAAATTAAGGAAAAACTGTTTAAGATCCCAGGGCTAGAAAAATCACATTTCTATATCTTACAATAAATCATCTATGTTCATTTTGATATCTCCATAATGTACATATTTTTAGTAAAGAATTTAAGATGTCCTTTTAAAGATTAATTTACTTCTTCAATTTTTTACAGGCTTCATTTTGAAGGATTAGAATTGAAGGACAAGAAACTATGTCATTCTACTGAACATTTGTTTTCCCTCTCTGCCTGAACTCATTTGATCATTCTACCCTTAAGAAACATGGAAATTTAAAAACTGATTAAGATGGTTAGACACACATATATTCAGGAAACTCTAGTATGTGGAAAGATTAGATAGTCACACAATTCATGGATTTCAAACTAATCTCAAAATTTCATATCTCTAGAACAGTATTAACACAGGAAAAAACTGCAAATATCTTATAAAAGCACTTCTTGCCTCCAGCAAATATACAAAAAAAAAAAATGCTTGGGGAGAATGGGAAGCAGAGGTGCAATACAGGAGATCATTTTATTATTCACATACATAAATATGTGTGTGTGTATATATACACACACACATTACTTTGTGAGTTCCAAATATTATAAACATTTAAAATGTTTATTAAACTCAGGTAAGCAGGGTCAATATGAACAGTGAAAAATCATGCTGATAGTATACACTCTTTAAATTATGTGAAAATGACATTTATGTCTGTGGGCTTCCTCCCAAAAACCTGTACCTCCAGGCTAATCATGAGAAAGACATCAGAAAAGTTCCTATTGGAGGAACATTCTACAATATACCTGACAAGTGCTCCTCAAAACTGTACAGGTCATCAAAAAACAAGGAAAGTATGAGAAACTGTCACAGCCAAGAGATGCCTGAAGAGAACTAAAAGTAACATGGGGTACTGGAACAGAAAAACAAATTAGGTAGAACTATGGAAATCTGACTAAACTGTGGACTTTGTTAATACATAAATGTTGGTACATAAACTGTAACAAACATATCATATTAATAATGCGAGAAGCTGGATGTGAGTGTATGGGAACTTTCTGCAGCATCCTCTGAATTTTTCTGTATGTCTATAAACTGAAGCATATTCCCTTCAAAAAGGCATTTTTTAATTGATGACCATTTACAAATGTTATGTGCTGGATTACAAAACCTGAGTTACAAAGGTAATTTATTTTTGCACATTGGACCATTTGTATATTCCTTGAAAAATGTACAGTATTCCTTTAATAAACTATGCAGTTGGGAAGTCAGACTGCTGCTATTTATATACAGCTTTGACAACTTAAGTGATCTTTGAGCAAACTGCTGAAGTTGTATAGCTCTCCATTTTTTCATCTAAAAATGGGATAACATTTTTTGTGGGAATTTAGATAAGACATGTAAAACACTGGTACCTAGTAAATATTCAATAACAATCGCAGTTGGAATTATTACCTTTATGAAGTAAACTAATTTCAGCTATGACAGAGTAGTACATATCTCCCTCACACCATATATAGCCATTAAGTCTGGAAAAGTTATGTGAGAATATTTTTTGCAGGTCTTGGACAGTAACATATGCATGTCTATAATCCTTGAAAGAAGAGCCTCCTAACATTCTCCCCAGCTGTCATGCTGAGAGCATTTTTGCAATCTACACAGAAGAAAAACAGAACCCAAGGAGAGCATAGCAATCTCTCTGGGTAGAAAAGACATAGATAACAATTTAAAGCTGTCAGAGTGGCTTGTATTTCTGCAGGCAGCGTCCCTGACAGGAAGGAATTGCTGAGAACTCCTAAAAATCTGCTAAAAATGCCTTCAGTCCTTGGCCAGCTCCTAACTGTGCATGCCCAAGGAAGAACTCAACGAGGCCTAGCAGAGAATAACTGCTGGAAAGTTGGAGAGCTGAGGAGAGATTTTTGAGGCCCCACTGTGCCAAGGAACAGGAGGTTACATTTGAGTCCAGCTAGAATGAAGAGGCCTTGGTGAACATCCATGGCTTTCACTGGGATGTCTGAAAAGCCATGACTACAGCCTGGGTATAAGGCAAGACTGAACCCAACCTGCCCTAAAAAAGCGTCAACAATGTCCACAGGATCATATTGATTCAGCAATACAACCGCTTGCTAGAACAAATTTCATATTCCTTAGAGGACATTAAAATAATCTAGAGCTTTTATAATGTTTGTACTCAAAGCGTGGCATCAAAGATCACTAGATAAGCAAAGACGTAGAAAGCAAAGATTCAGGGGAAAAAAAAAAAAAAAAAACCTATTATCAAGAGAAAAAATAATTTAAGCAGACCCAGAAATGAGACATACATTGGAATCAGTATGCAAGGATTTCAAAATAACCATGCTTAACACATTAAAAAATAGAACTAAAGATAAAAATGTTGATGAAAAATGGAAATTTTCAACAAAGAATCTATAATAAAGAGAATTTTAGTTATAAAATCCTTGAAATTAAGAATTAATTGGACTGGTTTTATAATGAATAGGGAGTGCAGAACACAGTATAAGTGATCTTGAAGACAGTAAAAAAACATTTGACCTGTAGCACAGAGAGAAGAAAATGACAAATTAGTATTATAGTCGTTTTAGTACTTCATGATCATATTACTATTCTATTTTTCTATTCCTACCTTATCTATTGGTAATCCCCTTAACATTAGGAAACCTGTTTGGAACATTTAGAAAACCACATGTGGGCTATCCTAGCAGCCAAGTCATTTGGGAATATTTGCTTTCATGAAACAAACAAGATAAAGGAAACATCAACCCCATTCCTAGA